GAGTCTGGCCTTGAACTTGCAGTCTTCCTACCTCAGCTGAGTCTTGTGCCACCATGCCCAGCTCATTAACATTTCTAAGGTGGAACAGATACTGGTATCGATAGGTACTAGTAAACTGTGAGGACTGGATCAGCAAGGGGCTGCCTTGCAGAGGTGGTCAGATAACCAGCAGGTTTGAGGAAACAGGTGGGAGACTGGAGTGGCTTAGAGAAGTGGACCCTTGGTCAGGTACTTGGGAGTTGTTCCTGCTGCAGCTGAGTTCCCCCAGTAGGCAGAGGGCATAAGGTATGCAAGCCTGGGGTCTGGGCCAAGAGTAGAGCTTTGGAGGAGTTTGGGCTTCTCTTCTTCTTGGAGAGAAGTACAGTAGATATGGGGGAGGGAGACAGCTTTTTAGTAATAAACCTTTTAAGAGTTCATGAAGAGGACTCGGGCTGTAGTTCAGTGGTAAAGTGCTTGCCTCGCTTTACTGGGCTTGTTCTTATATGTCCCACAGCTCCGCCAGTCAGCCAAGCCAGCAAACAGCATTCAAAAGACATTCTCAGAGGAGGACATACAATCAATCAACAAGTACATGAAAAAATGCTCACCATCTCTAGCAGTCAGAGAAATGCAAATCAAAACCACCCTAAGATACCATCTCACTCCAGCAAGATTGGCAGCCATTATGAAGCCATTGCGAGGATGTGGGGAAAAGGGTACACTTGTACATTGCTGGTGGGACTGCAAATTGGTGCGGCCAATTTGGAAAGCAGTAAGGAGATTTCTTGGAAAGCTGGGAATGGAACCACCATTTGACCCAGCTATTCCCCTAAAGACCTAAAAAGAGCATGCTACAGGGACACTGCTACATCGTTGTTCATAGCAGCACAATTCACAATAGCAAGACTGTGGAACCAACCTATATGCCCTTCAATAGACGAATGGATAAAAAAAAAATGTGGCATTTATACACAATGGAGTATTACTCTGCATTAAAAAATGACAAAATCAGAATTTGCAGGGAAATGGATGGCATTAGAGCAGATTATGCTAAGTGAAGCTAGCCAATCCCTAAAAAACAAATGCCAAATGTCTTCTTTGATATAAGGAGAGTAACTAAGAACAGAGTAGGGAAGAAGAGCATGAGAAGAAGATTAACATTAAACAGGGATGAGAGGTAGGAGGGAAAGGGAGAGAGAGGGGAAATTACATGGAAATGGAAGGAGACCCTCAGGGTTATACAAAATTACATACAAGAGGAAGTGAGGGGAAAGGGAAAAAAAAACAAGGGGGAGAAATGAATTACAGTAGATGGGGTAGAAAGAGAAGAGGGGAGGGGAGGGGAGGGGGGATAGTAGAGGATAGGAAAGGCAGCAGAATACAACAGACACTAGTATGGCAATATGTAAATCAGTGGATGTGTAACCGATGTGATTCTGCAATCTGTATACGGGGTAAAAATAGGAGTTCATAACCCACTTGAATAAAAATGTGAAATATGATATATCAAGAACTATGTAATGTTTGAACAACCAACAATAAAAATTATAAAAACAAAAAAAAAACAAAAGACATTCTAGCTGGTCACAGTGACACACACCCCTCTACACCGCTATTTGGGAAACTGAAGTAGGAAGATTGCAACTTTGACATCAATCTGGACAACATAGTAAGACCCTCCCCCACATAAAGAAAAAGAAAAAAAAAAGTGGACTGGGATGTAGCTCACTAGTAGAGTGTGAGCTTTAGCACTGGATTCGATCCTCAGCACCACATAAAACAAATAAAAATATTGTGTGTCCATCTACAACTAAAAAACTATTTTAAAAAAGTTCATGAAGGGGGGCTGGGGTTGTGGCTCAGTGGTAGTGTGCTCACCTAGCACACATGAGGCACTGGGTTTGATCCTCAGCACCACATACAAATGAAATAAAGAATGTGTGTCCACGTACAACTAAAAAAATTTTTTTTAAAAGTTCATGAAGAGTCTGGGGATGTGGCTCAGTGGTAGAGTCTTGTCGAGCATGCATGGGGCCCTGGGTTCAAATCCCCAACACTGCAAAGGAGGAAAAAACCCACAACAATCATGAAATTCACTGTTCCACTGGAAATAGAAGTTGCCATTTTTATCAAGGCCCACTGTATGTCCCACCTGTGCTATTATGCATCCTTAATTGTAAAATTGTAAACATCTCTGATAATTTGCCCCATAGTGTCCAAGTCTGTACCTGGGGTTGGTGGTATGGCAGTCTATGCAAGATGTCGACTGCCTGCTGGGTTGTGAATAGAATATATCACTCAGGGTTCTGGAGTCTCCTCCTATTTCTTTTGCTTCTGAGGGTCTCTGCTCTTGGCCTTTTCTACCCACTGTCACTTGCTGTTTTCTAGTTACTGGCAGCCTATGGTTTTGGTTACCATGGTAACCTCCAGTGGTGCAGCTGGATAAACTTGAATGCAAGCAGGATGGATTCAGGATAAAGGTGGAAGATGCAGGGATCAGGCTCCTGATATTCTTTCCTGTTATAGGGCCATCTTTGGCAAGCTCAAATGGGTAGTCATGAATGTCTTTGGGGCTCCACTTGTTAATGAAGGATTGGCCAGAAGGGGTAGGGATAGACTCCTGCTCTGGGGTCAAGGGCTGAGGGAAGGAGTCAAGTTGGACATGGAGACTGGCTGTTCATCTTGACTCGAGTCTGGTCTGTGGAGACAGGTGAGCAGCAGGTATAGGAGTTCCAATTTCTGTGGTCCTCATTCCTTTTAAGATGCTTTTTTAATGTGTGTGTTTGGGGATTGAATGCAGGGGTTTGTGCTAAAGCTCACACTCTACTAGTGTGCTATATCCCAGTCCACTTTTTTTTCTTTTTATTTACATGGGGGTCTTACTATGTTGTCCAGATTGATGCCAAAGTTGTGATCTTCCTACCTCAGTTTCCCAAATAGCGGTGTACAGGTGTGTGTCACTGTGACCAGCTAGGATGTCTTTTGAATGCTGTTTGCTGGCTTGGCTGACTGGTGGAGCTGTGGGACATATAAGAACAAGTCGGGCAGAACTGCTTCTGGCAGAGGCCAGTGGAGGTTACTTGGACTGGGAGAACTTGCTCATATCTAGCTGTTAACAGACCTCCTTTTTTTAAAAAAAATATTTTTAGCTGAAGATGGACAAAATACCTTTATTTATTTTTTTTTTTATGTGTTAGGATTGAATCCAGTGCCTCACATATGCTAGGCAAGTGCTCTACCACTGAGCTACAACCCCAGTCTTTGGAATAGCTTTTCTCTCCTCTATTTTATTATTGAGGTAAGAGTCCTAATTGTACAGTTCCCTGCCCCCTTTTAAAATATATAAAACCTGACAGTATGGCCAAACTTTGGAGTGGAATTATGAATTTGCCTTTTCAAAAAATGGCTGTAGGATTGCATAAAGAGGGACAGATCCTCTGGTGTGGTGGTGTAGTGAGAGTCACACCAGGATTTCTGGGTATCCCTGTCAAGGGCTAATCTCTAGGAAACTTAGAAGGGTCAAGATACCCTTAACACCCTCAGTGCCTGTCCATACTGATGTCTTCATATCATAAGATCAGCAGAATTTGAAGAAAAGGATTCTAGTTCTGAGACTGAGGTAAGGAAAGCAGTTTCCTTGGCTCTGCTTGCTATGTTGAAATTTTCATTCATTCAGTTAGTAAACCCTCGCTAGGAGTGTGCAATAAGGACCCAGCAGGCAAAAAATTGGACATTGCTCTTCCTTTCACAAAGTTGATGGTCAAATATTCCTCCCTGCAATCAAGAAGCTTGTTCTAGGAGATACTCCTGTTTGTCATCACAGGCTTATGTAGCCTAAACCCTGGACTGGTTTCTCCACCAGAGCAGATGAGATGTTCCTGCTACCAGCAGCACAGTTCCCAGCAGCACTGAGTTCCTGGATGTGTGCCAAGCTATATGGGAGGTGCTAGTGAGGATTTTAATTAATACTGTGTAATTACTAGGTGGTGCTTAACCATCCCAAATGCCCTTCATTTCCCAAGCCTACAGCTAATCACTGGCTGGGCCTGGCAGGAAAAGGGAGAGGAAGGACTGTTCTATGCTTATTGGTCTTTGATCAATAGCTAGCCTCTAGCATGGACATCCCAGGAAGGTTTCTACCTTTTATTCCATTCCAATCTGGTGGGAGGAGGGAAGTAAGTTGGGTAGTAGCCTGGCTTCTTTTGTTCACCTGTGCAAAGGATAACAATACTTTATGGTCTACTCAATTTTATCAAGCAGTGCTGGCCCAGGGTCCAGGGTGGAATGTGGAGAGAGAAGGGGTTCACAGGGGTTCTAGACCTGTGACCTTAGGGGGAGTGCTCAAAAGGAAGAACAGGGAGAAAAAGTTGTTTCTGCTCTGGGCATTATTCTTTTCTCACTGTATATAGCTGGCTGAGTGACCTCTTTCAATGTTATTTCTCTGCTGGTGGCTCTCAAATTATTTTCTCACTGAAACTTCTACTTCCTACAAGGCCTTTCCATTTTGACAAGTCACAGACCTCATGCCAGACTCCCAAGGGGCCTCTAGTCATTCCACCTGTCAGCCAGAGTGGCCTTGATTTGACTAAATCTTTCTTTGCTCTTGCTGTGCTCTTTGCTAAAATGGTTTTTCTCCATATCTTCCTTTAGGCGGGTCCTGCTCATTTCTTGGGGTCAGCGTGACTTTACCCCCTAAAGCGGGCCCTCTTGCGCTCTACCAGAGGCAACAGTTGGGTGGGCATGTGTTTTTGTACCTGTATCCCTTTTGTCCTTTAAGAGGCTCTTAGCATATTTTAAAAGAATAAATGAAGAGTCTTTCTGACCAAATGAGAGGCACTAACCAGCCTGCTTCGTAGGTAGACCACTTATTACTTAATTTCCCCTGTTCCCCGCTGGGAGCAGCAGGTCAAGCACGTTGAGAACGTTAGAACAGATCGCCAGAGGGTGTGCCGCCCAGTGCGGCACACGCGCACTGAGGACCAGAGCTTGGCGAGGACGCGCACGCCTGCGGCCGCGTGCGTCACAACTCGGGCGCCTGCCCCTCCTGTCCAACTCTCCTCGCGGTGGGTGCCCCCGGCGGCGGTGGCGGCGGCGGCCCAGAGACAGCAGCAGCAGCGCCAGACTGGCCGCGGTAGCGTAGGGTTGCGTGGCTCAGAAACAGACCCAGCCAAAGGGGCGCGACGCGAGGAAGGCAAACCAGGGCCGCTGGTTAGGAGACCGCGGGCGCCTATAGAGAAGCCGGTGTGAAGGAGCGCGGAGGCTGTGGCCACCGGCGGCCCGTACTCGCCAGTCCCCGAGGCCGCCGCCGGCATGAGCCACATTCAGATCCCGCCGGGGCTCACAGAGCTGCTGCAGGGGTACACAGTGGAGGTGCTGCGGCAGCAACCTCCTGACCTCGTCGACTTCGCGGTGGACTACTTCACCCGCCTGCGCGAGGCCCGCGCCCGAGCCTCATTGCCGTCCGCCGCCCCTCCTTTAGACTTACACGCTCCAGAGCCCTGCCCGGACGCTGTAGCTGAAGCGGACGGCGACTCAGAGGAGGACGTGGAACTGGAAGGTATGCGGCGGACCCGGCCAGGATTCGTGGTGGGGACCGAGGGAGCGGTGCAAGCAGTCTTCAGAGGTCTCCAGAGCGGTGCGGTGGGTCGGGCGTTGCGCCCGGGCCAATCCGACTGTCCAGGGCCTGGACCTGGGAGCTCTCTAATGGAGTTTGTTGGGTTCCTGAGCCGCCGGCTTGCGCCCAGCGTGTGTCATTTCCAAATTGAGTTGCATGGTTCTTGAGTCCGACAGATTAGTCAGATTCAGCCTTGAAGGAAGCGTGAGGATTTTCAGTCTTGGTGGCGGAGAGGGCCGGAGAGGTGTGGAGCCCACTTCGGCCCCCGCCAAAAAATTTTTCGCCTTTGCTTGAGACCCTTAACCTATTTTAGTTCCGAAGATCAGAGCATTCACATCCAGCCTGTTTAATAACCTGGACAGTAAATTTGAAAATAATTCATTTTGGAGGTTATTGTGAAACTTTTTTTGAGCATAGACAGTAGAAAAAGATGAATGAACCTTTTATACTATCACATTCAACATGTCAATATATATCACAAATGTTTCAGATATATCTTTTCCCCCCTTCGCTGAAGAATTTTAAAGCAAGTGTCAGATCGTTTCATCCCAGCTTGCTCGAGTATGCATTTCTTTCTTTCCTTTCCTCCTTCCCCCTTCCCTTCCTTTCCCAGAGGTTGAACCTAGGAACACTTAACCACTGAGCTGCATCCCCAACCCTTTTTATTTTTCGAGACAGGGTCTCGGCTAAATTGCTGAGGCTGGATTTCAACTCTAGATCCTCCTGCTTCAGCCTAACTAGACTCTGAGATTGGAGGCATGCCCCCCACTGACTGCGCCTGCCTTAAGTATGCATTTCTTTACATATGGTCCCTGGGGGGGGAGATACACACAAACACACACACACATATATTTATTTGTTTATTTTTTAGTTTTAGGTGGACTCAATATCTTTATTTAATTTTTTGTGGCGCTGAGGATTGAACCCAGTGCTTCATGCATGCTAGGCGAGCACTCTACTATTGAGCCACAACCCCAGCTCCATATATTTTTAATTTGTTTAAAACAATTGAATAATATTTGATAAGCAGACAGTATCTTGTTTATTTGTTGCATGAAAGAAAACAACACTTTTTACAACTTGTTTAAGCAAAGGAATGTCTAGAAGCAGTTTCATTTTCTTGATTTCTTTCGCATATGATTTGCCAATTTAACAATATAAGTATCCTACTTTTTTTTTTTTTTTTAGAGAGAGAGAATTATTTAATATTTATTGTTTTTCGGTGGACACAACATCTTTATTTTTTTTTTTATGTGGTGCTGAGGATCGAACCCAGCGGCGCCTCGTACATGCCAGGCGAGCGGGCTACCGCTTGAGCCACATCCCCAGCCCCAGTATCCTACTTTTTATGTGATAGAATTTAACAAAATAGTAAAAACATTTGAGAGATGAAGAATCTTAGTGTTATTAGATCACACTGGGGGGGACTTTTTCAAGTCACAGCTGGCAAAGAGTTTCTGTGGGAGATTATAAGCTTCAGTGGAAAAGTGTCCCTAAATTTGTTCATGTTTAAAGAGTAGATACTGCTATTTTGTGTTTCCCTTGCATGTTACATTATGAATTTGGGGGAAATCAGGAATTTTCCAGTCCAGGGCTATGGCACACACCTGTAATCCCAGCGGCTCAGGAGGCTGAGGCAGGAGGCTCTTGAGTTCAAACCCAGCCTCAGCAATCGTGAGGTGCTAAGCAACTCAATGAGACCCTCTCTCTAAATAAAATACAAAAAATAGGGCTGGGGATGTGGCTCAGTGGTTGAGTGCCCCTGACCAATCAATCCCCAAGTTACCCCCTCAACCAAAAAAAAAAAAGGAAAAGAAAATTTCCAAATCTCTGCCACAGGTTTGCTTCGAGGTCATGAACAAGTTGCCAAACCTGTTTGATTTCAGATTTTCTTATCTTTGAAATGAGGGCAGTGACAACAATCTCCCAGAGATAAATGTGTTTTTAAAAGCATTATTTCTGAGTGACTCCTAGGTTTGTTTCTCTGTTATTTATAAATTATAAGAGCTATGGGGCTGGGGATGTGGCTCAAGCGGTGGCGCGCTCGCCTGGCATGCGTGCAGCCCGGGTTCGATCCTCAGCACCACATACAAAGATGTTGTGTCCGCCGAAAACTAAAATAAATAAATAAATAAATATTTAAAAAAAAAAAAAAAAAGAGCTATAACCTGTCTCACATCAATTTTTATTTACACAAAACGTTAATATCAAATTTTTATTTACTCAAAACGTTAATATCAAAGTATATCAGAATATCAAAGTATGAAATAATATTTATTTGTGGAGAGCTGGAAGAATACAGACTTACAAATTAATCTGCAGAAGAACAATAAACTGGCATTCAGACTTGATTCTTTTTTTTTTTAGTTGCAGAGGGATACCTTTATTTTATTTATTTTTGTGTGATGCTGAAGATAAAACCCAGTGCCTCACAAGTGCTAGGCAAGTGCTCCACCACTGAGCTACAGCCCTAGCCCCCTTGATTCACTTTTGTAATCACCATAAAACATTTATTATTTGTGAGTTTCCCAACTTTTCTTTTGGAACCGCTTTTTTCTTTCTTTCTTTTTTTTGAGGCAGGGTCTCACTAAGTTGTTTAAGGCCTTGCTAAGTTGCTGAGGCTATCTTTGAACTTTCTATTCTCCTGTATCAGCCTCCTGAGTTGTTGAGATTATAGGTGTGTGCTACTACAACTGGCTTGGTAACAGCCAAGCCAAGATATAATTTACAATCAATTTTTTTTTCTTTTTTCAGTACTGGAGATTGAACCCAGAGGTGCTCTACCACTGAGCTACACCAAAGCCTTTTTTTTTAATTTTAATATTTATTTTTTAGTTTTCGGACACAACATCTTTCTTAGTATGTGGTGCTGAGGATCGAACCCGCGCCACACGCATGCCAGGCGAGCTCGCTACCGCTTGAGCCACATCCCCAGCCCCACACACCAAAGCCTTTTTATTTTTTATTTTGACACTTGAACTTGGGATCCTCCTGCCTTAGCCTCCTGAGGCATAAACCACTGTGTTCAGCCACAGTTTTAGAACATTTTCATCACCCCAAAAGAAGTGTGTGGCAGTGGTAAAGTGCTTGCCTAGCATGCATGAGGTCCTGGGTTTGATTCCTATGACAACTCACAAAAAAGAAGCCCCATAAACTTTTTTTTTTTTTTAAGAGAGAGAGAGGGGGAGGGAATTTTAATATTTACTTTTTAGTTTTCGGCGGACACAACATCTTTGTTTGTATGTGGTGCTGAGGATCGAATCCGTGCCGCACACATGCCAGGCGAGCGCACTACAGCTTGAGCCACATCCCCAGCCCAAGAAGCCCTATAAACTTTTGCTATTACCCACCAACACTTATTCATTGCTCTCATCTCTAGGCAACTTGTAATCTTTCTATAGATTTGCCTATCCTGAACATTTTATATAAATTTTTTAAAATTATATTTTAGTTGTAGGTGGACACAATACGTTGTGCTGTAGGTGTGACACAATATGTGGTGCTGAGGATCGAACCCAGTGCCTCACGAATGCAAGGTGAGCGCTCTACCTCTGAGCCACAACCCCGGCCCATTTCATATAAATTAATCGTATGATTCACACCTGTCACTTAGCATAATTTTTTTTTTTTCTTCCTCTGGAAGTGTTGGGTAATGGGCTTAGGGCCTCATGTGTGCTAGACAAATCTCTATCACTGAGCTACATGTCCGGCTCTTAGCTTCATGTTTTCAGAATTCATCCATGTTGTAGCATGTATCACTTCCTCATTAAAAAAAAAAATTTGTTGTTGTTGATAGACTTATTTTATTCATTTATTTATATCGGTGCTGGGGTTCAAACCCAGTGCCTCATACATGCTAGGAAGGGGTTCTACCACTGAGCCACAACCCCAGCCCCTCACTTCCTCATTTTAAAAATTTTTTTGAGACAAGTTCTTACTGTGTTGCCCAGGCTGGTTGTAGACTCAAGTGATCATCCCTAATGTTGAACTATATGGTTTTCACTTTGTAACTATTAAATCATACTACTGTGAACATTCATGTGTACAAGTTTGTGGCGAATGTATAGAGATTGAACTCAGGGGCACTTTACCACTGACCTATATCATTTGCCCTTTTTATTATTATTTGTTTTTAAAATGTGGTTTTGAGAATTGAACCTAGGGCCTCGCATGTGCTAGGCGAGTGCTCTACCATTGAGCCACAATCCCAGCCCAATTATTTTTCATTTTGAGACAGGGTCTTGCTAAGTTGTTGAGGCTGGCCTCAAACTTGACTATTCTGCCTCCTGCCTCAACCTCCAGAGTTCCTAGGATTACACAATGCCTGTTGTAGTGGATGTAAATTTTTAATTTTTTTAAGTATACACCTAGAAGTAGAATTATAGGGCCATAGGATGGGGGTATAGCTCAGTTGGTAGAGTGCTTGCCTTGCATGTATAAGGCCCTGAGTTAAATCCCCAGCAACACACACACACACACACAAAAAAAAAAATTTACAGGGTTATATTATAATCCTGTATTTAAACTTTTAAGGAATTGGTAAGACTTTTTTTTTTTTTTAACATTTTTTAGTTGTCAGTGGACCTTTCTTTTCTTTTTTACTTTCTTTATCTATATGCAGTGCTGAGAATCGAACCCAGGTCTTCACAGATGCTAGACAAGCATTCTACTACTGAGCTACAACCTGAGCCCCCAGTAGACTCCTTTCTTAAGTGGCTACGCCTTTTTATATTCTAACTATTATTATTGAGGGTTCTAATTCCTCCACATCCTTATTAGCACCTATGTGCATTTTTTATTATAGCCAACTTAGAACCTAATTATGGTTTCAATTTGCATTATCCTAATTAATGACTGAATGTTGTTGGGCATCTTTCTAGGTATTTGTTGGTCCTTTTTTTTAAATTTTTTTTTTTTTAGTTGTAGATGGACACAATATCTTT